AACACTGCCCTCCTGTCTTTTGATATCAATATCTGCAAGTCACTGTTACACAGCTTTACACAGGAATTGTCTGTTCAGACTTGATTATTACAAGTCACTGTTACACAGCTTTACACAGGAATTGTCTGTTCAGACTTGATTATTACAAGTCACTGTTACACAGCTTGGCACTTGAATTGTCTGTTCAGACTTGATTATTACAAGTCACTGTTACACAGCTTTACACAGGAATTGTCTGTTCAGACTTGATTATTACAAGTCACTGTTACACAGCTTTACACAGGAATTGTCTGTTCAGACTTGATTATTACAAGTCACTGTTCATAGCTTGGCACAGGAATAGTATGTACTGTATATTGTAGCGCTTTAGCAACAAACAAAATTAACATAGCAGTGTGCCATCAAGTCTATTTTTTTTTCGTATTGTTCAGATGTTGCAATAAGTGAGTGAGTGAGTTTAGTTTTTAGGCCACACTCAGCAATATTCCAGCTATATGGCGGCGGTTTGTCAATAACCGAGCCGGGATGAGACAATACAGTGATCAACATCATGAGCATCGATCTCGCGATTTGGGATACGATGACGTGTCATTTACCAAGTCAGCGAGCCTGACCACCAGATAGTTGCTTCTTATAACAAGTATAGGTTACTGAAGATTAATTCTAACCCAGATCTTCACGGATCTTGTGGCAATAAAGAGTCATGTCTGAGATACAGTCTTACATACTATTCCTGCACCAAGACTCCATTCCTCTTTTGACTGAAACATTGCAGACATCAACAAGACAATGGTTGCACAAAAGGAATCTGTCTCCCCTGCCTTTACAGACATCAAGACAATGGGTGCACAAAGGGAATCTGTCTCCCCTGCCTTTACAGACATCAGTAAGACAATGCTGGCACAACAGGGAATCTGTCTCCAGCCTTTACAGACATCAACAAGACAATGGTTGCACAAAAGGGAATCTGTCTCCTGCCTTTACATACATCAACAAGACAATGCTGGCACAACAGGGAATCTGTCTCCAGCCTTTACAGACATCAACAAGACAATGGTTGCACAAAAGGGAATCTGTCTCCTGCCTTTACATACATCAACAAGACAATGCTGGCACAACAGGGAATCTGTCTCCAGCCTTTACAGACATCAACAATACAATGGTTGCACAACAGGGAATCTGTCTCCTGCCTTTACAGACATCAACAAGACAATGGTTGCACAACAGGGAATCTGTCCCTTGCCTTTACAGACATCAACAAGACAATGGTTGCACAACAGGAAATCTGTCTCCTGCCTTTACAGATATCAAAAAGACAATGGTTGCACAACAGGAAATCTGTCTCCTGCCTTTGCAGACATCAACAAGACAATGGTTGCACAACAGGGAATCTGTCTCCTGCCTTTACAGACATCAACAAGACAATGTTTGCACAACAGGGAATCTGTCTCCAGCCTTTACAGACATCAACAAGACAATGGTTGCACAACAGGAATCTGTATCCTGCCTTTACAGAGATCAACAAGACAATGGTTGCACAACAGGGAATCTCTCCTGCCTTTACAGACATCAAGAAGAATCTGTGTCAAGGTTTTGCACACGTCAGTAAGACAGTGCTTGCAAAACATGGAATCTGCCTCCTCCTTTCACAGACATCAGCAAGTCAGATACCCCCATATCCAACTACAACATATCTGCTGTCTGATGACACCAGGTATTATCTAACTGCAACATACCTCATACATCTAAAGACACCAGGTGGTATATCCATACAACATACCTAATGTGTCTGATGACACCAGGTGGTATCTAACTACAACATACCTGATCTGCCTGATGACACCAGGTGGTATCTAACTACAACATACCTGATGTGTCTGATGACACCAGGTGGTATCTAACTACAACATACCTGATCTGTCTGATGACACCAGGTGGTATCTAACTACAACATACCTGATGTGTCTGATGACACCAGGTGGTATCTAACTACAACATACCTGATCTGTCTGATGACACCAGGTGGTATCTAACTACAACATACCTGATCTGTCTGATGACACCAGGTGGTATCTAACTACAACATACCTGATGTGTCTGATGACACCAGGTGGTATCTAACTACAACATACCTGATCTGCCTGATGACACCAGGTGGTATCTAACTACAACATACCTGATGTGTGTCTGATGACACCAGGTGGTATCTAACTACAACATACCTGATGTGTCTGATGACACCAGGTGGTATCTAACTACAACATACCTGATGTGTCTGATGACACCAGGTGGTATCTAACTACAACATACCTGATCTGTCTGATGACACCGGGTGGTAGCTACCTACAACATACCTGATGTGTCTGATGACACCAGGTGGTATCTAACTACAACATCCCTGATGTGTCTGATGACACCAGGTGGTATCTAACTACAACATACCTGATCTGTCTGATGACACCAGGTGGTATCTAACTACAACATACCTAATCTGTCTGATGACACCAGGTGGTATCTAACTACAACATACCTGATGTGTCTGATGACACCAGGTGGTATCTAACTACAACATACCTGATGTGTCTGATGACACCAGGTGGTATCTAACTACAACATACCTGATGTGTCTGATGACACCAGGTGGTATCTAACTACAACATACCTGATCTGCCTGATGACACCAGGTGGTATCTAACTACAACATACCTGATGTGTCTGATGACACCAGGTGGTATCTAACTACAACATACCTGATGACACCAGGTGGTATCTAACTACAACATACCTGATCTGTCTGATGACACCAGGTGGTATCTAACTACAACATACCTGATCTGTCTGATGACACCAGGTGGTATCTAACTACAACATACCTGATGTGTCTGATCACACCAGTTGGTATCTACCTACAACATACCTGATCTGTCTGATGACACCAGGTGGTATCTAACTACAACATACCTGATCTGCCTGATGACACCAGGTGGTATCTAACTACAACATATCTGATGTGTCTGATGACACCAGGTGGTATCTAACTACAACATACCTGATGTGTCTGATGACACCAGGTGGTATCTAACTACAACATACCTGATCTGTCTGATGACACCAGGTGGTATGTACCTACAACATACCTGATCTGTCTGATGAGGGCAACATGGTTGTTCTTGTTTAGGAGAGATCCACGCTTCCAGATTAGCTTCCCATCTGAGAACTGGAACAATCGAACCTGGAAACAAAGGATAAATGTTGTGATGAGTTCATTCATGCAAGGCCTATGTTTCTGTAAACATAGTCACTTCTAATCCGAGTCATGTTGTTTCTAACCTGGGCTCTGTTGAAAAGTCCAGCAGGAAGGTAAGCAAACTTGTACACCATCTTGGTCTGCCTGGTGTCCTCAAACCTGCTGCCTTCTGCCCAGTTCTCTATCTGAAACATGCACAAACAGATAAAATCAATCTACAACATCCACACAGAGTTCAAATATATACAACACCCAGTTCTCTATCTGAAACATGCACAAACAGTTCAAATATATACAACACCCAGGTATCTGTCCGATGCATGCATAAACAGTTCAGATAAAATCAATCTACAACATCCACACCCAGTTCAAATATATACAACACCCAGGTATCTGTCCGATGCATGCATAAACAGTTCAGATAAAATCAATCTACAACATCCACACCCAGTTCAAATATATACAACACCCAGGTATCTGTCCGATGTATGCATAAACAGTTCAGATAAAATCAATCTACAACATCCACACCCAGTTCAAATATATACAACACCCAGTTCTCTATCTGAAACATGCACAAACAGTTCAAATATATATAACCCCCAGTTTTCTATCTGAAACATGCACAAACAGTTCAAATATATACAACACCTAGTCAATGGCTTAATGACTGCTAAACATGGGAAGAGAAGTATGTTTCTTTAGTTGAGGATCATAAAGTAAGTGTGCTACCTCTGCTGAGGATGATAAAGAAGTGTGCTACCTCTGCTGCTGATGATGAAGTGTGCTACCTCTGCTGAGGATGATAAAGAAGTGTGCTACCTCTGCTGCTGCTGCTGAAGTGTGCTACCTCTGCTGCTGCTGCTGAAGTGTGCTACATCTGGTGAGGGTGATGAAGAAGTGTGCTACATCTGGTGAGGATGATAAAGAAGTGTGTTACCTCTGCTGCTGCCGATGAAGTGTGCTACCTCTGCTGCTGCTGATGATGAAGTGTGCAACCTCTGGTGAGGATGATGAAGAAGTGTTCTACATCTGCTGATTATGATGAAGTGTGCTACCTCTGCTGATTATGATGAAGAAGTGTGCTACCTCTGGTGAGGGTGATGAAGAAGTGTGCAACCTCTGGTGAGGGTGATGAAGAAGTGTGCTACATCTGGTGAGGATGATAAAGATGTGTGCTACCTCTGCTGCTGCTGCTGAAGTGTGCTACCTCTGCTGCTGCTGATGAAGTGTGCTACCTCTGCTGAGGATGATGAAGAAGTGTACTACCTCTGCTGATTATGATGAAGAAGTGTGCTACCTCTGCTGCTGCTGCTGAAGTGTGCTACCTCTGCTGATTATAATGAAGAAGTGTGCTACATCTTGTGAGGATGATGATGAAGTGTGCTACATCTGGTGAGGGTGATGAAGAAGTGTGCTACATCTTGTGAGGATGATGATGAAGTGCGCTACCTCTGGTGAGGGTGATGAAGAAGTGTGCTACATCTGGTGAGGGGTGATGAAGAAGTGTGCTACCTCTGGTGAGGATGATGAGAAAGTGTTCTACCTCTGCTGATTATGATGAAGAAGGGTGCTACCTCTGCTGATTATGATGAGGAAGTGTGCTACATCTGCTGAGGATGCTGAAGAAGTGTGCTACCTCTGCTGCTGCTGCTGATGAAGTGTGCTACCTCTGCTGATTAAGATGAAGAAGTGTGATACATCTGGTGAGGATGATGATGAAGTGTGACATCTGATGATGAAGTGTGTGCTACATCTGGTGAGGGTGATGAAGAAGTGTGCTACATCTGGTGAGGGTGATGATGAAGTGTGCTACATCTTGTGAGGATGATAAAGAAGTGTGCTACATCTGGTGAGGGTGATGATGAAGTGTGCTACATCTTGTGAGGATGATAAAGAAGTGTGCTACCTCTGCTGCTGCTGATGAAGTGTGCTACCTCTGGTGAGGATGATGAGGAAGTGTGCTACCTCTGTTGCTGATGAAGTGTGCTACCTCTGCTGCTGATGAAGTGTGCTACCTCTGGTGAGGGTGATGAAGAAGTGTGCTACCTCTGGTGAGGATGATGAGGAAGTGTGCTACCTCTGCTGAGGGTGATGAAGAAGTGTGCTACTTCTCCTGAGGATGATGTACATTGTTACCTCTGATGGTTCTTCTGGGGGCAGGAGACATGGCACTATGTTGACTGGTTCTTTTGGTAGTGGGAAGGTCAGGTCAAACTCCTCAGTTAACTGCAGCAGCCACTGGTGGAGTGAGGGGGGATAATCCTTCCAGACATCACTAATGTACTTGTGGCTGAACCGACCTGCATCTTCCTGTAATAGACAACATGGTAGTGCTGGGTATGTGAATCTACAACAGCATGACCTTCACTCCCTACAGTATTTTCAGGGTGAATGTACAACAGTATGACCTTCACTCCCTACAGTATTTTGGGGTGAATGTACAACAAACTGACCTTCACTCGTAGAACAGTATGACCTTCACTCCCAACAGTATCTTCAGGGTGAATGTACAACAGTATGACCTTCACTCCCCACAGTATTTTCAGGGTGAATGTACAACAGTATGACCTTCACTCCAAACAGTATTTTGGGGTGAATGTACAACAGTATGACCTTCACTCCCTACAGTATTTTGGGGTGAATGTACAACAGTATGACCTTCACTCGTAGAACAGTATGACCTTCGCTCCCCACAGTATCTTCAGGGTGAATGTACAACAGCATGACCTTCACTCCCCACAGTATTTTCAGGGTGAATGTACAACAGTATGACCTTCACTCCCAACAGTATTTTGGGGTGAATGTACAACAGTATGACCTTCACTTTGCGTAGAACAGTATGACCTTCACTCCCAACAGTATTTTCAGGGTGAATGTACAACAGTATGACCTTCACTCCCCACAGTATTTTCAGGGTGAATGTACAACAGTATGACCTTCACTCCCAACAGTATTTTCAGGGTGAATGTACAACAGTATGACCTTCACTCGCCACAGTATATCGGGGTGAATGTACAACAGTATGACCTTCACTCCGAACAGTATTTTCAGGGTGAATGTACAACAGCATGACCTTCACTCCCCACAGTATTTTCAGGGTGAATGTACAACAGTATAATTTCATGCTTTGAATTTTACACAGATTCCCGAACGTTGGTTGGTTGAGAGAGCGGTCATGTGATCTAAAATTCAAGGTTCATATCTCTTGAACCCTTCAAATCGTTCATACGTGTGTGAACGTTTTCCAGCCGATCTAGGTCATGTGAACTTTTGCCGGAACTACTTTCCGGGTTTTCCCAGGATACTCTCTGTCCAGCTTCACGTAAACAAAATAACAATTATTTGTATTCACACTCCTTTTAATTTCTACATATCACTCAGTTGTTCTTGTATATTACAAAGTTAATAAATCAAATAAAATAATATTTTTAATTTTTCTTTATTAAAAAACAATGTTTTTCGCTCGTTTGTTGTCTGCTACTGCAAAGTCATGGCTGACAACATCGGCGTCGACTATGGCAATTTTTCTATTGGCACCGCAAATATTGTGGATATGGAATTTTTGCAAGATGTGAATCTTGAGCAACTATTTTCCGAGATGACTGATGAGGGGACCTGTCCTACATCTGCGGATTCGATCTTAAATGACCAGATCATAAAAATGGAAACGCCCGTGACCACTGATGACAAAATCGGTCCTCAAAAGGCCACATCCACTTCAAGATTTGTAATTTCTTCGGAAGAAAAACTTCAAAGCCTTGAACAACAACCCCACAGCCAGTCGACAATGAAAAATACAAGGTGGGGACTTCTGCACAGTAGACCTACATTGTGACTAAGTACAATAATCCCTTGTAACCCTACATCAATGGATTAGGCCTAAATTATAGATTAATTCTAAAATTTTGCAATGCTTACGTCAAACTTAAACTGAAAATACAACAATGAGAAAGTATACATCATACCTATATCCACAAATATGACACCCCAAATGACAACCCACAAGAAACAGCAATAACCACGTACCTTTTTTAAAACTTGTTACAGATTGGTCATTCCAAACGAGGAATATCCAGGTGAATTGGGAAACTATCCTTCCTACTGCATTGGCCGATCTCCTGAGGAGTTTTTACGCCGAGACACGCCCACAAGTATCCAATGGCAAGGCTAACACAGTTTCCTCGTCCGAGGATTACCATCGCAACACTTTGAAAAATCTGAGAGCAGCTTTGAACAGACACCTCCGACTGCTGGTCGTCCAATTGACATTGTCAAAGACAGAGAATTCCAGAGAGCAAACGACTTGCTCAATGGAAAATTAAAAGCTTCTGTTCGCGAAGGAAAGTCAAAACCAACTAAACACAAGCCGGTTATTGACAATGGTGATATGGTTAAAATTCAAGCTTATCTTGACCATGAATCTCCAACTTGTTCACTTTACAAATGTTGGTTTGATCTGTCAATCCATTTCGTATCCAGAGGTTTAGAATTTCACAGTCAACTAAAGCCGGATTCGTTTGAATTTCGTGTTGATGATGAGGGTAGGGAGTACGCGGCTATTACTCACGCGAGACCATTCAGAAAACTTCTCAGGAGGGCTCCATAATCCGCTGAACAACACTCCTGATAAACATATGCACGCCGTCCGATACATCTCGATGCCCTGTTGCTAATCAGAAATTGTTGATTTCCAAATTGCCACCACAAGCAGACAAGTTATTCTGCATTCCAAAATCAAATGCCACGCTTTAATGACCCAGTTTGGTATTCGGAAAACCCATGTCCGAAAGCCAACTGGGTCAAATAATCCGAACAGTGTCAAAGGAATGTGGCCTCAGTCACGTATACACCCCACACTGTGTCCGAGCAACAGCCATCCAGGCACTTGCTGATGCAAACGTTGAATTTTGAATTGAGGCACATCATGTATTTATCTGGCCACAGGAACGAAGCCAGTATTCGTTCATACAATAGGTCCATTTCAATGGCAAAAACACCAACTGAGCACAGTTTTGCAAAATCTCACTGACAACGCTGGCGTCCGACAAGTGCCCTAACTTTCAAAATTCCGCTTCGGTTTCAAGGAACCCCAATGACCTTGCTGCAAGCGGTGATGCCAATTTCGCGACCGAACCTGTTTCAAGTCGCCCCAATTTTGGCAATTTTCACTACCCAACTGATTTCCAATATCCGAAAATTGTTCGTTTTCACAAGAGTTCAATCTCTCACAGTTTGCAGGTTCGTCTGGCGGTTTTCTGCCCCGTGGTGTGTTTAACAACTGCTCCATAAATTTCACGATAAACAATCACAAATAAATAGAATTCAACAACGAGATCTGCTTCCAATTCGCCAAGCACAACTTCTCAAGTCGGTCAGTGTATCATTACGCTGGTCAAATGAATCTGTCAGAATGTAAAGCTACAATGACAGTTTGTTAAACTTGATATTGATATTTGTTTCTGTTTGATAATTTTATTGATGTTATACTTATTAAAGTAGTTTCAAACCTAATGACGAATTTGTTGTTAATATTTTAAGGAATACTTTGAGAACTATTTCTTCAAGGGTTGGGATACATGTGTAAAATATCGCCAAGTATAGAAACATCGCTGTACATCACTGTAAACACTGATCATGGAGAAGAGGGTGAAAACGTATGTGTAAACTTCAAAGTATCGAAATTATAAGAATTGAATGTCAGTTGTTTAGGTTTGCACTGAAAAATGAACGATAACAAAGCGTTGTTCAAACTCCTATGACTTCACACGAGAGTTTGAACAACGCTTTGACATCGTTCATTTTTCAGTGCAAACACACAAACTGACATTCAATTCTTACATGACCTTCACTCCCAACAGTATTTTGGGGTGAATGTACCACAGCATGACCTTCACCCCCCACAGTATTTTGGGGTGAATGTACAACAGTATGACCTTCACTCCCAACAGTATTTTGGGGTGAACGTACAATAGTATGACCTTCACTCCCCACAGTATTTTCAGGGTGAATGTACAACAGTATGACCTTCACTCCCCACAGTACATTGGGGTGAATGTACAACAGTATGATCTTCACTCCCAACAGTATTTTCAGGGTGAATGTGCAACAGCATGACCTTCACTCCCAACAGTATTTTCAGGGTGAATGTGCCACAGCATGACCTTCACTCCCAATAGTTTTTTAAGGGTGAATGTACAACAGTATGACCTTCACTCCCCACAGTACATTGGGGTGAATGTACAACAGTATGACCTTCACTCCCCACAGTACATTGGGGTGAATGTACAACAGTATGACCTTCACTCCCCACAGTACATTGGGGTGAATGTACAACAGCATGACCTTCACTCCCAACAGTATTTTCAGGGTGAATGTACAACAGTATGACCTTCACTCCCCACAGTACATTGGGGTGAATGTACAACAGCATGACCTTCACTCCCAACAGTATTTTCAGGGTGAATGTACAACAGTATGACCTTCACTCCCCACAGAACATTGGGGTGAATGTACAACAGCATGACCTTCACTCCCCACAGTACATTGGGGTGAATGTACAACAGTATGACCTTCACTCCCCACAGTACATTGGGGTGAATGTACAACAGCATGACCTTCACTCCCAACAGTATTTTGGGGTGAATGTACAACAGTATGACCTTCACTCCCCACAGTATTTTCAGGGTGAATGTGCCACAGCATGACCTTCACTCTGAATAGTTTTTTTAGGGTGAATGTACAACAGTATGACCTTCACTCCCCACAGTACATTTGGGTGAATGTACAACAGTATGACCTTCACTCCCAACAGTATTTTCAGGGTGAATGTGCAACAGCATGACCTTCACCCCCCACAGTATTTTCAGGGTGAATGTGCCACAGCATGACCTTCACTCCCAACAGTATTTTCAGGGTGAATGTGCCACAGCATGACCTTCACTCCCAACAATATTTTCAGGGTGAATGTACAACAGTATGACCTTCACTCCCCACAGTACATTGGGGTGAATGTACAACAGTATAACCTTCACTCCCCACAGTATATCGGGGTGAATGTACAACAGTATAACCTTCACTCCCCACAGTATATCGGGGTGAATGTACAACAGCATCACCTTCACTCCCCACAGTACATTGGGGTGAATGTACAACAGTATGACCTTCACTCCCCACAGTACATTGGGGTGAATGTACAACAGTATAACCTTCACTCCCCACAGTATATCGGGGCGAATGTACAACAGCATGACCTTCACTCCCAACAGTACATTGGGGTGAATGTACAACAGGCATGACCTTCACTCCCCTACAGTACATTGGGGTGAATGTACAACAGTATAACCTTCACTCCCTACAGTATATCGGGGTGAATGTACAACAGCATGACCTTCACTCCCAACAGTATTTTGGGGTGAATGTACAACAGTATGACCTTCACTCCCCACAGTACATTGGGGTGATTGTACAATAGTATGACCTTCACTCCCCACAGTATTTTCAGGGTGAATGTGCCACAGCATGACCTTCACTCCCTACAGTATTTTCAGGGTGAATGGACAACAGTATGACCTTCACTCCCAACAGTACATTGGGGTGAATTTACAACAGTATAACCTTCACTCCCCACAGTATATCGGGGTGAATGTACAACAGCATGACCTTCACTCCCAACAGTATTTTCAGGGTGAATGCGCCACAGCATGACCTTCACTCCCAACAGTATTTTCAGGGTGAATGTACAACAGTATGACCTTCACTCCCCACAGTACATTGGGGTGAATGTACAACAGTACAACCTTCACTCGTACAACAGCATGACCTTCACTCACCATGGTATTTTCAGGGTGAATGTAATAAGTCAGTTGGAACCAACCTGATAGGGAGTTTTGACGGAGACAACACAGGACATGACGTTGACGATCCACTGGGGGTTAATGACGATCTGGTCCTCGAGGAGGAAGTCATTGTCAAAGTACTGAACAGTGCCCAGCTCATGAAGGAACTGCACTGCTTCTTTAATCTGCAATAGAGTGGCATTTTTCAACTGTGTATCTGTATAGGTACTGAGTAGCATCTGTGTAGGTACTGAGTAGTATCTGTATGGGTACTGAGTAGTATCTGTGTGTGGGTACTGAGTAGTATCTGTGTAGGTACTGAGTTGTATCTGTGTTGGTACTGAGTAGTGAGTATCTGTATGGGTGCACCGAGTAGTATCTGTGTGGGTACTGAGTAGTATCTGTATAGGCACTGAGTAGTATCTGTGTAGGTACTGAGTAGTATCTGTGTAGGTACTGGTTGTACTGAGTAGCATCTGTGTAGGTACCGAGTAGCATCCAGTATAGGTAATGAGTAGTATCTGTATAGGCACTGAGTTGTATCTGTGTGGGCACCGAGTAGCATCCGTATAGGTACCGAGTAGTATCTGTATAGGCACCCGAGTTGCATCTGTGTGGGTACAGAGTAGTATCTGTATAGGTACTGAGGCAACATAGGTACCGAGTAGTATCTGTATAGGTACTGAGTTGTATCTGGCACTGAGTAGTATCTGACTGAGTTGTTCTGTAGTGCATCGTCTATAGGTACTGAGTAGCATCTGTATAGGTACTGAGTTGCATCTGTGTGGGTAGTACTGAGTAGTATCTGTATAGTACCTCGAGGTACCGAGTAGCATCTGTATAGGTACTGAGTTGTATCTGTATGGGTACTGAGGTACCATATCTGTGTGGGTACTGAGTAGTATCTGTATAGGCACTGAGTTGTATCTGTATCTGTATAGGTACTGAGTAGTATCTGTATAGGTACTGAGTTGTATCTGTATAGGTACTGAGTACTATCTGTGTGGGTACTGAGTAGTATCTGTATAGGTACTGAGTAGTATCTGTATAGGAACTGAGTAGTATCTGTATAGGCACTAAGTTGTATCTGTATAGGCACTAAGTTGTATCTGTATGGGTACTGAGTAGTATCTGTGTGGGTACTGAGTAGTATCTGTATAGGTACTGAGTAGTATCTGTATAGGTACTGAGTTGTATCTGTATAGGTACTGAGTAGTATCTGTATAGGTACTGAGTACTAAGTAGTGATCTGTAAAGGTACTTGAGTTGTATCTGTATGGGTACTGAGTAGCATCTGTATAGGTACTGAGTAGTATCTGTATAGGTACTGAGTTGTATCTGTACTGAGTAGGTACTGAGTAGTATCTGTATGAGGTACTGAGTTGTATCTGTATAGGTACTGAGTAGTATCTGTATAGGTACTGAGTAGTATCTGTATAGGTACTGAGTAGTATCTGTATGGGTACTGAGTTGTATCTGTATAGGTACTGAGTTGTATCTGTATAGGTACTGAGTAGTATCTGTATAGGTACTGAGTAGTATCTGTATAGGTACTGAGTTGTATCTGTATAGGTACTGAGTAGTATCTGTGTGGGTACTGAGTAGTATCTGTATAGGTACTGAGTAGTATCTGTATAGGTACTGAGTTGTATCTGTATAGGTACTGAGTAGTATCTGTATAGGTACTGAGTAGTATCTGTATAGGTACTGAGTAGTATCTGTATAGGTACTGAGTTGTATCTGTATAGGTACTGAGTAGTATCTGTATAGGTACTGAGTTGTATCTGTATAGGTACTGAGTAGTATCTGTATAGGTACTAAGTTGTATCTGTAAAGGTACTGAGTAGTATCTGTATGGGTACTGAGTTGTATCTGTATAGGTACTGAGTAGTATCTGTATAGGTACTGAGTAGTATCTGTATAGGTACTGAGTTGTATCTGTATAGGTACTGAGTTGTATCTGTATAGGTACTGAGTAGTATCTGTATAGGTACTGAGTAGTATCTGTATAGGTACTGAGTTGTATCTGTATAGGTACTGAGTAGTATCTGTGTGGGTACTGAGTAGTATCTGTATAGGTACTGAGTAGATCTGTATAGGTACTCTGTATCTGTATAGGTACTGAGTAGTATCTGTATAGGTACTGAGTAGTATCTGTATGGGTACTGAGTAGTATCTGTATAGGTACTGAGTTGTATCTGTATAGGTACTGAGTAGTATCTGTGTAGGTACTGAGTTGTATCTGTATAGGTACTGAGTAGTATCTGTATAGGTACTGAGTTGCATCTGTATACTGAGGTGCATCTGTACTACTGAGTAGTATCTGTATAGGTACCTGAGTTGTATCTGTATAGGTACTGAGTAGTATCTGTATAGGTACTGAGTTGTATCTGTATAGGTACTGAGTAGTATCTGTATAGGCACCGAGCTGCATCTGTGTACAGGCACTGAGTATCTGTATAGGTACCGAGTAGCATCTGTATAGGTACTGAGCATCCGTATCTGAGTACAGGTACAGAGTAGTATCTGTATGGCAAGGCACCCGTATGAGTAGCATCCGTACAGGCAAAATGAGCAGTACTCGAGTAGCATAGGCACCGGAGCAGCATCCGTACAGGCACCGAGCAGCATCCGTACAGGCAAATTGAGCAGCATCCGTATAGGCACCGAGTAGCATCTGTATAGGCACCGAGTAGCATCCGTATAGGCACCGAGTAGCATCCGTAGCAGGCACCGAGTTTGCATCCGTATAGGCACCGAGTAGCATCCGTATAGGCACCATCCATAGCTTGCATCCGTATAGGCACCGAGTAGCATCCGGTATACAGGCACCGAGCTGGGCACCGTCGAGTAGCATCCGTGCGGCACCCGAGTAGCATCCGTATAGGCACCGAGCAGTAATCCGTATAGGCACCGAGCCGCAATCCGTATAGGCACCGAGTAGCATCCGTATAGGCACCGAGCAGCATCTGTAGCTGGCACCGAGCTGCATCCGTATCTGCATGGGCACCGAGCAGCATCCGTACAGGCACCGAGTAGCATCCGTATAGGCACCGAGTTGTATCCGTATAGGCACCGAGTAGCATCCGTGGCGGGCACCGAGCTTGCATCCGTATAGGTACCCGAGAGTAGCATCCGTAGGCAATAGGCACCGAGTAGCATCCGTACAGGCACCGAGTTGCATCCGTATAGGCACCGAGCAGCATCCGTATAGGCACCGAGTAGCATCCGTATAGGCACCGAGTAGCATCCGTATAGGCACCGAGTAGCATCCGTATAGGCACTCGAGTAGCATCCGTGTAGGCACTGAGCAGCATCCGTATAGGCACCGAGCAGCATCCGTATGGGCACCGAGCAGCATCCGTATAGGCAATTCGAGTAGCATCCGTATAGGCAGGTACCCGAGCAGCATCCGTATAGGCACCGAGTAGCATCCGTATAGGTACTCGAGCTGTATCCGTATAGGCACCGGAGCAGCATCCGTATAGGCACCGAGTTGGATCCGTATAGGCACCGAGTAGTGATCCGTATAGGCACTTCAAGTAGCATCCGTATAGGCACCGAGCAGCATCCGTATAGGCACTCGAGTTGCATCCGTATAGGCACCGAGTTGCATCCGTATAGGTACCGAGTAGCATCCGTATAGGCACCGAGCAGCATCTGTATAGGCACCGAGTTGTATCCGTATAGGCACCGAGTAGCATCCGTATAGGCACCGAGTAGCATCCGTATAGGTACCCGAGCTTGCATCCGTATAGGCACCGAGTAGCATCCGTATAGGCACCGAGTAGCATCCGTATAGGCACCGAGCAGTATCCGTATAGGCACCGAGTAGCATCCGTATAGGCACCGAGTAGCATCCGTACAGGCACCGAGCCAGCATCCGTATAGGTACCGAGCAGCATCCGCATTGCGTGCACTCGAGCAGTATCCGTGCATAGGCACTGAGCAGCATCCGTAGTAGGTACCCGAGTAGCTTGCATCCGTATAGGCACCCCGAGTAGCATCCGTACGGGCACTGAGCAGCATCCGTATAGGCACCGAGCTGAGTAATCCGTATAGCATACTCGATAGGCATCCGAGTAGCATCCGTGCAGGCACTGAGTTGCATCCGTATAGGCACCCTCGAGTAGCATCCGTACAGGTCCTGAGCTGTATCCGTACAGGCACCGGAGTAGCATCCGTATAGGGCACCGAGCAGCATCCGTACAGGCACCGAGCAGCATCCGTGTACAGGCACCGAGTTGCATCCGTATAGGCACCGAGTAGCATCCGTATAGGCACCGAGCAGCATCCGCATAGGCACCGAGCAGCATCCGTGCGGGCACCGAGTTGCATCCGTGCGGGCACTGAGCAGCATCCGTACAGGCACCGAGCTAGCATCCGTATCAGGCACCGAGTTGCATCCGTATAGGTACCGAGTAGCATCCGTATAGGCACCGAGCTGCATCCGTACAGGCACCGAGCAGCAATCCCGTATAGTATACCGAGCAGTATCCGTATAGGCACCCGGAGTAGCATCCGTATAGGCACCGAGTTGTATCCGTATAGGCACCTGAGTAGCATCCGTGCGCATCTGTATAGGTACAGGTACTGAGCTGCATCTGTATATAGGTACCGAGTAGCATCCGTATAGGCACCGAGCTGTATCCGTATGGCACCCGAGTTGCATCCGTATAGGTACCCGAGTAGCATCTGTATAGGCACCCGAGCTGCATCTGAGGCAATAGGCACCCGAGTAGCATCCGTATAGGTACCGAGTAGTAGCATCCGTACCAGGCACCGGAGTAGCATCCGTGCGTGCACCGAGTTGCATCCGTATAGGCACCGAGCAGTATCCGTATAGGCACTGAGTAGCATCTGTATAGGCACTCCAGAGTAGCATCCGTGCAGGGCACCGAGTAGCATCTGTATAGGCACCGAGCTGTAATCCGTATAGGCAGTTGCATCTGTGTGGAGTACCGAGTTGCATCTGTATAGGCACCGAGCTGTATCCGTATAGGTACCTGAGCAGTATCCGTATAGGTACCGAGTAGCATCTGTGTAGGTACCGAGTATCGAACCCGGTGTATCCGTATAGGTACCTGAGTAGGCAATTGAGTAGCATCTGTATAGGCACTTGAGCTGTATCTGTATAGGTACCCGAGTAGCATCTGTATAGGTACCGGAGTGAGTTGCATCTGTA